GACAGGTGAGAATCGAAAAAAAGGCCAGCAGTTCAGTTCACTTTACTTAGACGAATTACTAATTCAAAAGTGTAAATTCAGACATCGTTTTACCGTCAATTGTTAGCCTGGAAAGGCTTTCCCCGAAGGGTTCATACCACCTTGGCGAATATCGGTATGAAGGACACACTTGCTCAGAAACATCTTATCGAATTACTGAAGTGGAATGCATCACACGTGCAAAAACACTTCAGTTAAACCTGACAGGAGACATTGGATGATCAGGAGTGAAAAACTGTGCGAAGTAAATCAGTCAATGTTCAGATGCAGCTCAGTCTTCTGTAATTGACCGAAAGTAGTTCCAGATTGCGACAACAGTGCAGAAATGACAAGAAAAGAAAATTGTTCGACATGCCGGTTCTGGGCTTGGCCGGTTGCCATTGACGAAAATCGAAAAATGGTGCAGGTACGCAGATTGGCGTCCCAATCTGTATCACCAGATCAAATGGGTGTCTTCGTTGGTAGCGGTCCCAAATGATCTGCCGCTACCCCCTGCTTGAAATTGGATATTAGGTAGAAGTTTTACATCTATTCAGATGCTTCACACACACACTGAATACACATCACACACGCACATACTCAATACACATCACTCACATGCAGCACTTGGTGCACTGCCACGGGGTCGGATGTACGCCTTGGCGTCCCTTCGGTGTCCCTTGGTCTCCGCCGCTCTGCCGGTAGCTTCACACATCACTCACACACTTGCTCAGAACAATCATTGCGAATTCTGATGTGGAATGCATCTAACGTGCAAAAACACGCCAATTAAACCTGACAGGAACGAGTTGGTGAGCAGATTCAAGAAAGAATCAAAAAAAGCTCAGGCTAGATGCAAAATTGACTTCCCTGACAGATTGCGAAAACCGTACACACATCGAAGTGACATCAAAAAGAGGTCCTCAGGTTGAAATTTGGTTTGAAAATTGGTGGAAAAACGACATGCCGGTTCTGGGCTTAGCCGGTTGCCATTGACGAAACACTGCAAAAATTGAAGCTTCAGGTACGTCACGGTGATCAGCCGTGATATCCGCATGTACTGTGGCCGCTTCGTTGGACCATCGCACACAGTACATGGATGGTCTGGTCCCCCTGCTAAAGACAAAAAAGACAAAAAAGGATTCCCTCCCAAGTGATAGAAACGGACAAAGTCGAAACCTAAGTCAAGGTAGAAGTTTTACATCTGTTCAGATGTTTCACACTTGCTCAGAAATATCTTATCGAATTACTGATGTGGAATGCATCGTACGTGCAAAAACACTTCAGTTAAACCTGACAGGATTGAGTTACAGAGTAGACTCGAGTAAGAGTCAAAACGGAACTTCTCCATAGCCCTGGTTGGAAGCAAAGTGACTTCCCTGACAGATTGCGGAAACCGTACTGACATCAAGTTGAAGGTTGGTTTGAAAGTTGAAAAAATTGGGAAATGTTGAAAATTCGACATGCCGGTTCTTGGTTTAGCTTTGTAGTACAAAGTAGTACTGGGAAGTGCTTTGTGCAAGCTTTGTAGTGCAAAGTAGCACTGGGAGAGCTGGGTAAGCTGGCCAATCAAAATCAATTGTAAATGGAAATCTCTAGAAAAACACATTTTTTGGCTGATTTTCTGGTGCTCCGTTTGTGGTCTCTGATTGCGCTTTCTGGTGCTTCATTTGTGCTCTCTGATTGGACTTGCTGGTGCTCCGTTTTGGCAAAACCTCTGGTCTCTCTGGTGCTCCGTTTGTGGTCTCTGATTGTACTTTCTGGTGCTTCATTTGTGCTTTGTGATTGGACTTGCTGGTGCTCCGTTTTGGCAAAACCTCTGGTCTCTCTGGTGCTCCGTTTGTGGTCTCTGATTGTACTTTCTGGTGCTTCGTTTGTGCTTTCTGATTGGACTTGCTGGCGCTCCGTTTTGGCAAAACTTCTGGTCTCTCTGGTGCTCCGTTTGTGGTCTCTGATTGTACTTTCTGGTGCTTCGTTTGTGCTCTCTGATTTGACTTGCTGGTGCTCCGTTTTGGCAAAACCTCTGGTCTCTCTGGTGCTCCGTTTGTGGTCTCTGATTGTACTTTCTGGTGCTTCATTTGTGCTCTCTGATTGGACTTGCTGGTGCTCCGTTTTGGCAAAACTTCTGGTCTCTCTGGCGCTCCGTTTGTGGTCTCTGATTGTACTTTCTGGTGCTTCGTTTGTGCTCTCTGATTGTGGTCTCTGATTGGATTTCCTGGTGGTCGGTTTGTGGTCCCTGGTTGTGGTCGGTAAGTAAGGATTTGAAATTGGTATCTTGGTGCATCTCTGATTGGATTTGCTGGTGCTTCGTTTGTGGTCTCTAATTGTACTTTCTGGTGCTTCGTTTGTGCTCTCTGATTGGACTTGCTGGTGCTCCGTTTTGGCAAAACCTCTGGTCTCTCTGGTGCTCCGTTTGTGGTCTCTGATTGTACTTTCTGGTGCTTCATTTGTGCTCTCTGATTGGACTTGCTGGTACTCCGTT